AATAATGATGCTGCTATGATTGAAGATCATCTTCAGCAAGCTAATGATCAGGATCTTAATCGTGTAAGGAATTGGTTTCAGGAAGATGATATATTGATCGTTGACAGAGGATATCGTGACGCTTTGCCCTTTTTAAACGGGTTGGGTATCGATACAGAAATGCCTCCTCTAATACCACGGGGTCAACGACAATTATCTACCGAAGATTCAAATAAAGCAAGATTGATCACCAAGACACGGTGGATTATTGAAGCAAGAAATGGTCACATTAAATCTTGTTTTCATTTCTTAAGAGATATATTGCCAGTACAGCATATATCTTTTTTGAATATCTTTCTCCGAATAATATGCTCCATTATTAACCGGTATTTTCCTCTCATTCATATGGATGGAGCAACTGTAGAATCTGCACAAGCAATGAAGGAATTGGCTGCGAGAGATAATCTTCTTCAAGCTAAAGTGAATAATGAAAATCTACAAAGACAAATTATTCCAGACGACAGATGGCAAAATCTAGATGAACTAAATATCAATAATTTTCCACACCTTGATCTACAATACCTTCGGGATCTGACTGTAGGAGTATACCAATTAAAGTTGGCTCCTAGCTATATCCAAGATCGCCTGCAACGAGAAGAAGTAGAACACTTCACTTTACAAGCCACCGAACTACAACTCTGCTAAGGTCAAGAGTGTATTCCCGTTTTACACAAAGGATAAGACATAACATCTGGATTAGCTTTATTCCCAATGAGAACCTTGAACATGACAGACAGCCAATAACGGGGTATTATTGCACATGTAAAACGGGAGCAAGGACAGTGGGTTGCTGTTCCCATGTTGCAAGCGTTTTGTGGTTTCTGGGTTATGCACGTCATGAAAATAATGTTCGATATCCACCTCTGAACATTTTGTTTGCTACAAAAGATGCTGCAAACCGGCCTTTGCGCGAACCATTGCAACATTAATTATTTTTATTTATTTAATTTATCTTCAGTAGATTTAATTTTTGCATATTCAGGGTTTTTGAATATTCATTGGTAATATGAATGAAACAGGAGCAGATGCTTTTACTTAAGTTTTTTTGAGATAAAAATATTCAGCTTTAATGCAACAAAAATAGACGGAAGTAGAATAAAAGCATTTGCTACACTTCATTCATATGACTAACTATGCCTAAGAGTTCTATTAGGTTATTGATACATCCTTTTCGTAAAAAAAAGATAAATGAAAATCGCGAATTTGTCTGGGGAAGAAGGGCGGGGGCGCCATTTTCGGTCTTTTTCCAAGCTTTCTTTAAACCCATTTACTGGGTCTCCTATTGGTCGGGGCACAATGGGCCCATGGTAACTTTTGTTTCTTTTCCCTAGCTCTACAACATATTAAAATTTAAAAAAAATCGACTGGCCTTTATTTTCCATATAATCCGTGCCATATAGATATAGAGTAGCCACAGATTTCCATACGCTATGCAAAAATTATTATTTCCAAGAAATAAATAAATAGAAAATGTTTGATGATCACTAATTATGTGTAAAGCCCTTACTGACACAAAATAAAATTAGCTACAAAAAATATGCACTTTTTGGGAAAATATGCTACAAAAATTGTTTGCCGGGGTACATTTTTGTACCCCACCCGGAAAGACGAAGGTTAAAGTTGGGAGAAAAACATCCAAATCCAGACATTTGCGATAAAATTCCAAGTTTCGAAAATAGTTTTAATCCAAATTCTTTACGTGTAACTGAAAAAGAGGTAAAAAACGCCATTTTCTCTTTCAGTCCTGGTCCTCCGGTGGTATCGATTCCCTTAGACCACGCCACCTCAAAGATTTGGTAGGTTCCGCCTAATTTTTTATGACGCCAACCTTTGCGCTTTTAACAAAAAAGTGGATGTATACGTCCTATTGCAGTTGGACTTCGCCTTCGTCGTCTAGCAGCTAAAAAAATTTGCTCTCGAGTTTATGATAAACTAGGAAGCCTTTTTAGACGTTTTTAGTTAAGATTTGGAACGAAATGTGAAATGTGGTAAGGAAGCGGCTGCCCGTGCAATGCGGAGGTACCTCCATTTTCGTCATTATCTTTTGATGAAATTATTTTAAAAATTGACTATCAAAATGCTTTCAACATAGTAAATAGAAACACAATTTTATTGAAAGTCAAAGAATATCTTCCTGGATATTTTCATTTTATCTATCAATGTTATAGCGATAAAACTTTTCTTTCATATGGCAAAGAATAGTAGGTATATTGTTTTATTAGGAGTAAAAGTGCTTTCCTCCGAATAAAACATGCGATTTTTTCCGCAAACGGTATTCAAACGATGGAATCAAGGAAAAAAATATTGTCAACAAGGATCAGAGGTGTAGAAAAACGTAAAATTACATTGCTCTGCTTGTTGGTTTTGTGGTTGTCAAGATTAAATTTCGGCCGGACAAAAAAGTGACATCACAGAAATTTACCCTTCATTCTATCGTTTGAACACCGTTTGAAGAAAAAAATCGCATGTTTTATTCCAAGAAAAGCACTTTTTGTGGCTTTTCTAAAATTGTCAAACATTAAAGTCTCGCCACAAAAAGTATAATTTTCACTCCTATCTCCTAATAAAACAATATACTATTTCAACTTCTGTAAATAGTGTAAAATATGTGAAAATGTATAGTAAAAATCTTTGACTCCTTTTTCTGTTTTGACAACTTGTCAAAAAAAAAATCACGTTGTGATTTTTTTAAATTTTCGATTGTAGTCTTCTACGGTTGTGTATGCCCCTTCAAAAATACCTAAGAATGTTCGCCACTACTACCAGTAATTAACCAAAATTAATTTTGTATAATGTTCGGCCGTCTGACTGTCTCAAAAAAATTAAAAACACTAAAAAAGTCGTAATATTTGTAAATTTTCGATTTTAGTCTCTACACGGTTCTGTGTGCTACTTTGAAAATAGCTACAAATGTAAGCTACTACTCCTAGCAATCAACCAAAATTGAAAATTAAAAACCCTGAAAAAGTCGTGATTTTTGTCAATTTTCGCTGGTGGTCTCTACACGGCTGTGTATGTTATTTTGAAAATAGCTATAAATATAAGCTACTACTCTTAGCAATCAACCAAAATTAATTTTGTGTAATGCTCCGCCGTCTGAGTGTCTCAAAAAAATTAAAAACACTAAAAAAGTCGTCATTTTTGTGAATTTTCGATTGTAGTCTCTACACGGGGGTGTGTGCCACTTTGAAAATAGCTACAAATGTTAGCTACTACTACTAACATTTAAGCAAAATTAATTTTGTGTAATGCCCCGCCGTCTAAATGTCTCAAAAAAAATAAAAACCCTAAAAAAGTCGTGATTTTTGTCAATTCTCGATTGTAGTCTCTACTCGGTTGTGTATGCCATGGTAAACAAAGTTATAAATGTTAGCTACCACTCCTAGCAATCAACCAAAATTAATTTTGTGTAATGGTCCGCCGTCTGAGTGTCTCAAAAAAATTAAAAACACTAAAAAAGTCATCATTTTTGTGAATTTTCGATTGTAGTCTCTACATCTACACGGTGGTGTGTGCTACTTTAAAAATAGCCACAAATGTTAGCTACTACTCCTAGCAATCAACCAAAATTGAAAATTGAGAACCCTAAAAAAAAAAAAGATTTATGTAAATTTTCGATTGCAGTCTCTACACGGTTGAGTGTGCCGCACTCTGAAAATAGCTATAAATGTTAGCTACTACTACCAGCAATTGGTCAATGTCAATTTTATGTAATGCCCCGGCGTCTGAGTGTCTCAAAAAAAAAAAAACTAAAAAAGTCGTGATTTTTGTCAATTTTCGATTGTAGTCTTCACACAGTTGTGTGTGCAACTTCGAAAAAAGCTGAAAATATTGGCTACTACTACCAGCAATGAATCAAAATTAATAATTTTGATTAATACCGTCTAATGGCCATTTCCACCAAACTATAACTAAGCTTTGCTTAACTATGAAGCCCTTAAAAGTTAAGGGACACTCAAATATAATTTCGTTCCACCATAGTTTTTAAGTGTAAGCTTAGCTAAGTGTCGTTAAGCTTTGGCAACATTGCATTTCAGGTGAAAGATTTGCCTACTTTTCATTTTTACACTAGTCGTGTCAATGTTATCTGTCATTCGACGCTTCCCGCTAATTTTTCAAGATTATAAATATTAATAATAATAGTTGTTGCTGTTGTCCCAGGTTCGGTTTATTTCACAGAGAAGAGGTTTAGATATTGGTAGTTTATCCTGCATTGTGTGTGAACGAACACGAAAGTGCCTAGAGCAGCGTGGAGTCGGGGAATAGAAACAAGCAGGGAGAGTTTATCCAAAAAAAGCCGGAAACCAAACTAAATAGTAAAGGAAAAAGAGCTGATAATTATCGTTAACATCAAAAAATAAGAACATATTCGAAAATTTAAAAAAAAAAAACACCGTACAGTAGGGTAAACTGGTCCATAGTGGGACGCGGTCCATAGTGGGAATTTCACTCTCCTGGCCATTTTTTCGTCGCGGTAGAGCTATGTTTCAGTGTGTGTGCTATCATAACAGTGCCGCCTCTGAATATCTTATTGTTTTTTCAATTGGTACAGTGCGTTTCGATGTATTGAAAATTCAGGTAAATGATTAACTGAAAATTTTTATTTCCATGTTCAGTTTTTTTCGAATATTCCGCCGAAATGTATCCTTTTTAACAAGAATTTGGTATGGATATCTAAAACATACATAACCTCAATATTGTATAATTCTGTTTATACATAGCTCTACCACTTTGATAAAATTTTTGGTCATTTGTATTTTGATGCACAGTGGTCCATAGTGGGAAAAAATAAGCGGTCTATACTGGGATGTGATAAAATAATGCGGTCCATGCCGAAATATGCAAAAACATGCTAAAAATTCTCATTCTTTGCAGAATTGAATATGCCGAGACATCCAAGATCCCAACTGTCAGCACTTTTTGAAAAAAGCAGAGAGGATCATGAAGTATATGCAAGGTCTATGCATTCTGCAGTGAAAGATGTTGTAGAAAACCAAATGATATTGATGAGTGCATCCAAAAAGCATGGTGTAAGCAAGTCAGCTCTACAGCGGAAAGTGAAAAAGTTTAAATTAGCTAATGAAGAACATGAAGAAAATACAAATGATTTTGAATTCGGACGAAGCCATGGTTTCAAACTCATATTTACCAGTGCCGAGGAGCAGCTATTAAGCGAGTATATAATTGAAGCTTGTGAAATGTGCTACGGCTTAACATTATTGAATACTCGTGAATTAGCTTACAAGTATGCCATTACTAATAATAAAACGGTGCCTCGAGCTTGGCAAGAGAAGAAACGAGCTGGAGTCGAATGGATGAATAATTTTAGGAAACGACACCCTATGTTATCGCTTCGAAAACCAGAAGCAACTAGCCTTGGTAGGGCGACCAGCTTCAACAAGCATAATGTGGCTACATTTTTCAACAACTTGAAAAATGTGATAACGAAACATAATATCCAGTCGAACCAAATATACAATTGTGATGAGACTGGTGTCACTAATGTGCATAAACCCGGGAAGGTACTTGCTAACATTAAACAAAAACAAATTGGAAAAGTGACAAGTGCTGAACGAGGCACATTAATAACAATGTGCACCGCAATATGCGCTAATGGGACTTATGTGCCTCCATTCTTTGTATTCCCAAGGAAAATATTTAAGCCTTTCATGCTTAGTGGAGCTCCTCTAGGATCAGGCGGCTCAGCTTATCCCTCTGGTTGGATGACAGGAGACAATTTTTTGAAGTATATAGAGCACTTTATCAAACACGTGCGATGCAGTAAAGAATTCCAAGTTCTATTAATTCTTGACAACCATGAGAGCCGTTACGATGTTCGTGTGCTGAATATGTGTAAAGATAATGGGATTATTTTATTAACATTGCCGCCCCACTGCAGCCATAAATTACAACCGCTGGACGTGAGCTGCTTCTTTCCATTTAAAAGCTATTATAATCAAGGTGCGAATATCGCGAAACTCCGATATAGCAAATGGACGCTATCTACTGGCTAGATTGAGAGACCCTTCCATCTTAAAAACTCTTAGGCTTTACCTAGCCTATCTCCACGACCAGCCCCCCAATGTGTGTTTTGAAGGTTACACCAACACCAGCATTAAATTAGCGTTAGCATCAGAGGGCCTACCGAGTGACGTGGATTCCTTACGCAAGCTGTATTATCGTTTCCACAGCGCCTATGGCATCGATTCGGCTGAAGTTGAAGCGGATCTTTCTGCCTTCAGATCGTTTTTCTCTTCGGAAAAAATCCAACAGCTTCAAAAAATTAGGGAGAGTCATTCTAAGTACTTTTCTGGTGGTTCTCCAAATAACAAAAATTTTTAGATACCTTGACGCGAATAGAGGAACAAGCACCCTCTGAAACAATTAACGATAGCAAGCTTAGTGTATTTCTCATCAATATTCAGTCCATTAGACACAAAACCGATGAATTATATTTATTATTAGAACACCTACATTTTCCAGAAATTATTGCCATAACAGAGCATTGGCTCAATATTGACGAGCCTGTGTTTGTCAAAAACTACACTACAGTATCTAGGTATACTAGAAGTATACTATCTCATGGAGGTACTGTAATAATGTCCACTAATAACAACTTTTCGGCGATAACCAAGTTCGACAATTTATTATCTGAAAAATTATTCGAATTTTCTATAGTCTACAACAATATCTACGACCTCTACATTGTTTGTATTTACAGAACACCTGACGCTGACTTGGTTACATTTTTTCAAAACTTACTAAGCTTGCTTGAGTCTTTCCCTCTTAAGAGTAAATTAATTTTATGTGGCGACTTTAACATAGATTTTTCCAGTGTGTGTGCTGCTCAAGATTCTCTCCAGTCTATACTTGACTCTTTTGGTATGGTCATGCATGTTCAATCTCCAACCCGAATAACTAAAACCAGATCTAGCACTATCGACTACGTCGTGTCATCTTTTGATCCAAGCTTTGTTGACTGTACTGTCTTAAGTTCAGGGTTTTCAGATCATGAAGCAGTACTCACAAACTTTTCTCTAAAGAGCAATACCAGGATTGCCCCACGTAAGTTTCGCCGAATTTATTCGGAAAAAAATTTCCTCAATTTCAAGCGCTCATGTCAAACAATTGACTGGGGTTGCCTCTCTGATGACATCAATAATGCATTTTCAACATTTTCAAATAAATTATCTGGTTTGGCTTTCAAAGCATTTCCCCTCAGGCCTATCAAAAATAAGCAACATAAACCCTGGACTACTAAAGGCTTGAGGACATCGGCAAAGAACATGCGCTCATTGTCACACCTAAAAAAATTTTCAGACAGTCTCTTCTTTCAAAATTACGTTAAACTCTATAGAAAAATTTATCATAAAACTATAAAAGCCGCCAAAGACACCTATTATAACAACCGGTTCGCTAGAACTGAAAATATTGCCAAAGAAACGTGGTCTATTGTCAACGACTTGAGAAATAAGGCTATCTCTTCCAGTATAACCTCTACTTCCCCTGAGAACTTGAATAACTACTTTGTAAATGTGGCAAAAAATTTAATGACCACTATAGCTCCTTCTCGCGATCCGCTTTCATATCTTTCCAGTACCAATATGAATTTACACAGTTTCTTCCTAACACCCGTAGAAACACTAGAGCTTTTCAGCACAATTAAAGACATAAAAAACAAAGTGTCATCTGGGACTGATGGACTAACTTTAAAAATGTTCTTCAATTTACCGGAGTGTACATTAAATCTCCTCACTGCTTTAATAAATAAATCTTTTCAACAAGGAGTGTTCCCAGATTGCCTCAAGACGGCTATAATTATTCCTCTGCACAAGGGAGGTGATAAGGACCAAGAGTCGAACTATCGTCCAATTGCACTTCTTCCTACTTTATCCAAAATCATTGAAAGATTGGTTAAGAAAAGGCTTCTATCATTTCTGCATAAATATAATATACTAACTATCCACCAATTTGGATTTTTAACCAACAAATGCACTATTGATGCTATGTTCTCTGTCTTCAATAATGTCTTCTCTAGCTTGAACAATTTGCACTCCACAGCATCAATTTTCTGTGATTTTTCTAAAGCATTCGACTGTGTAAGTCATAATATCCTAATTAACAAATTGCAGCATTATGGAATTCGAGGCTCTCCTCTGGAATGGTTCAAGTCGTATCTTAACAACAGAAAACAGCTTGTGAGGGTTGATACGACGACATCTTCATGCAAGCCAATAGAATGTGGAGTTCCACAGGGTTCCGTGTTGGGTCCAATATTATTTTTGCTGTTTATCAACGATATTGCTAGTCTAGACATCAGCGGTAAAATCTGTCTTTTTGCTGATGATACTAGTTTCACTTGGAGCAACCCGGATATTGTAGCTCTTCATAGAACCATGTCCATCGACTTGTTGGCTATTAAAACATGGTGCGACTCTAACTTCCTCTGCTTCAACGCTGCGAAAACAAAAGTTCTATCATATAGAAGTACGATGCAACCTATTGTACTTAATAACACTACTACTATTGACGTCGTTGATTCCGTAAAGTTTTTGGGCCTTATTATAGACAAATCCCTAAAATGGAATTCGCACATCGATTCTTTATCAAAAAAATTAAGTTCCGCTTGCTTTGCGATAAGATCAGTTTCCAAGGAACTCAACTTGTCAACTTCTAGAACAGTCTACTTTGCCCTTTTCGAATCACATCTTCGATACGCCCTTCCATTCTGGGGTTCGTGCTGTGCGACTCAATTTGACCGTATTTTTAAATTACAAAAGAGAGCTATTAGATATTCCCTAAAATTAAAAAATAGAGCTCATTGCCAAGATTTTTTCAAAAAATATAAAATATTAACACTTCCTTCCCTTTTCATACTAGAATCAGTCTGCCTTATCCGCAAACACCTACCCAGTATTTCAGAAAGGCCATTGCATAACTATCCACTTAGAAACGCGGAGCATGATCTTTATCTGCCAACACCATCCTCCGAGTTAATTAAGAGCTCCATTCTATACAACGCAAAAAAAAATGCACAATCATCTGCCAGTAGTCATCAAGTCCATAGCATCTCTTCCTAAATTTCGCATAGCTCTAAAATCCTATTTATCAGAGAGAGCCTTATATAAAGTAAATGACTTTTTTCTGACTTAATTTTGAGCGTTCCACACACTGGATCATAGTTTATAGGTAATTTGTTCATTTTTGTATTTGTTCATGTTATATTTGTTTATGTTTATATCATTTTATTTTGACTTTGTATACATGTAGATGTATATAATATGTATTTTTAACTTTAAGGCTTAGTCTACAAATTATGTTATAATTTTTTTGACAATAAAGCATTATTATTATTATTATTATTAAGGAGTTGACGACTGGATGCTAAATCATCCTGCCGTACCTATGACCATTTATGATGTTTGTAGTGTTGTTGGTACTGCCTACCCTAAAGCATTTACTCCTGTCAACATTCTCAACGGATTTAAAAAAACAGGCATAGCACCCCTGAATTCCCAAATTTTTTCAGATAGTGATTTTATGTCATCTTATGTTACTGATAGGCCCGAAGAAAATGAAAATGGAAATGGTGACGAAAATAATGCTAACGAAGGTGTTCAGGATATGAAAGATGTTCAGGATGTAGAAGATGTTCAGGATGTAGAAAATAATCAGGATGTAGAAGAACCACGACATGTCAGCCCAATCCCTGGCCCATCCAATATAATAACCCCTCAGCAAATCAGGCCATATGCCAAAGCTGCTCCTAGGAAAAACCTTAAGAGAAGCAGAAAGAAGCTACAGTCATCAATAATAACAGATACCCCCGTGAAAGATGCCATAGAGGAACAACATAAAGAAAGATTGGCTAAAAAAGCACTTTCAGAAGAGAAAAAGCAGAAGGCTAAAAAAGTTAAACGTCAAGTTTTTAATGACGACATTAGTTCGAACAGTGATGTTAGTGAAGAGATTTGCAACGATTCTAGCGATTTAGAAAGCTTCACATCAGAATATCAAGATTTGTCTATTCAAGAGCAGGATTATGTTATAGTAAGATACATGACAAAAAAAACTGTTAAACATTATGTTGGTCAGGTTATTAAGATAAGTGGAGATGAATATAACATCTCCTTTATGAAGAGAATTGTGGCCGGCAAATTTGTTTTCCCTGACAAACCCGATGAAGATACCTTAGTAGCAGAAGATATTTTACTAAAGCTGCCCCCTCCCACCATTAGTGGAAGTACAGCTAGGGCTGCTCGCCAGTTTATGTTCCCTGTGAATTTTTTCCAATTTAAAATTGACTAGAAGTGTTTTTTATTAGAAATCCCACTATGGACCACTATGATTCCCACAATGAACCATGTAGTGGTTCATAGTGGGACTAGTGGTCCATAGTGGGACTTGTTGAATAACATTTATTATAAATAAAGGATTACTTGAAACTATTATTAGTTTGCTTCCTTACATCCATACCTATGTATAGGTACGCTTGTCATAATTTATAAACGCTCAATAAAGGTGCTATAAATTTTTGAAAAAAACCGTCCCACTATGGACCAGTTTTCCCTACACCACAGTATCTCTGTGGCCGAAAAAAATAGGCTTTAGGAGGAAAAAAAACGCGAACTAGGTACACCAGAAATTAGAAAATTGATAAAATTCTAATTTTATCTCAATTCAATTTCAACGTTTGTTATGTAAACAAAAGCATATTATGCAAATGGCTTGCGCTGATTATCGCCACTTTGTTATGGGAGGAATAAGCCTAGAAATTTCTGGGCTTAGTTAAGCTTATCTTAATGAGACTAGGTTAGACTGGTGGAAACAAAATTATAATATAAGCGGCACTTAACGTTAAGTAAACTTAAATTTGCTTTGGTGGAAACGGCCATAAGTGTCTTAAAAAATTAAAAACTGGCGAAAATCACAACCACGACTTTTTCGGTTTTTATTTTTTATTGGACACTTCAGTAATGTATCACTTCCAGAATCTTCCTGGGTTATCTCTCAGAAAATCCATATTTTTTTCCATAACCGCATTGTTGGAAAGCCGGCCATTAGAAATTTATGAGAATCCGGCCTCTATAGTTAAAAGTAGGCCTAACCGCGATTCGATAGTTTTATGGCTGAGATTTTATGGATAACTTAACTCTAACTCGATGTTGTGCAAGGCCACATAACATCAGACGGCGCCTTTAATTTTAAAATTGGCCAACTTTTCCTGTCTGATTATATTAATGACGCCGAGAAAAAACTAAAATCCTTCACTTAAAGTAAATGGAAAATTATTGAATGAAAAGGAACAAAATTTATTGGTCAAATTTAAAACGTCTTTTGAAAAACAAATATAGCTTTAATTAATTTCAATATTCTCTTTTGGAACACTACAAGTATAATACGCGCTCGAAGACAAAATTCTGTTAAGCTAAAATAGATAAATATACTTTAACATTGTCGCATTCTTATGACTTCGAACCTATCATAAAGGAAGTAAATAAACTTCAAGTGACTGACAACGTGACTCACGCAGAATACAAATAGTTGAAACAAGCAACTACAATCAAAATATTTATTTGTCACTCATGTGTAAAACGTCACTTATCAAGTCAAAACATAAACAACGGAAATTGATTTTTACAAGCTACTGGCTCTACTGACTTGTAAAATTGACAACTAAACTGTAATAGTATATTATAATCTGAGACGGGAAATGCTTCATTGCTGATCGAGAGGTTATATAGTTTATAGAGACGCGTAGCGTCGAGATAAGCTGAACCTCGAGACAGCAATGAAGTTTCCCGTCGAGGTTTGTATACTATTTTATTTTTAACCATAATTTCTTGAAAAAAAAAATAAATAAATTCGTGACAACCAAATAAATGAGGTCGGGAAATGAGGACGGGGAATGAGGTCGGGAAATATATCCCTGCTCCATTTTCCGTCCGTGGACGGGAAATGAGGACGGAAAAAATTTCCCGTCCTCATTTCCCGTCCTCATTTCCCGTCCTGGGACAGGTAATGGACCAGGAAAATGAAAAGACAGAAATGTGACATTTTCAAATTTTTGGAAAGTCAGTATGACAACATTTCATATATGGTTAAAAATAATAGTTATTTATGCACCTAGGTCAAAAAGTACAGCTTTAGCGCCCGCAGCGTGTTAACTGTTTACACGCTGAGGGCGTTAAAGCTCTTTTTGACTGAGGTGCATACAAGATTTTATGCACGATGAGCATGTTTTCATTTTGCTAATCAAAAAATTATATATTTTCAATTTTGTAATGACATCAATCAAAAATATTTCAAAATATAAAATTTCATCTTTACCGCATAATAGGTCGTGAGTTTTTGTCAAATTTAGATCAAGGAAGCAGTTGTTGACAAAAGTATCACGTAACTATCATAGCAACCCAGAACAATACAAACAAATAATTAGGTGCTGTGTAGTGTACGTGTATAGTATTCTTATGATGGTAGTGCATCTGAAAATGGAGCAAAATAGCATGCCCAAGTTTATTCTTGAGGTAGTTGAAGAGGCCAAGGAACATGTCATTGTATACCTTTAAAGTCCAAAAGACTCTATGAAAAAACATATACGGACTTTAATTCCTGATGTGCCCAACATAGTGTAAATGAGCAGCAGTACTTTGTAGAAGAAACTCTCCTGGCCTGGCATATACAATAATATGAAAAATGCAAAAAAAAACGCCATCCACCCTATGGAGCTTTTACTCAATGTTGAAGGCAACAGTTCTTTTGTGTATTTCTGTGGAAAAGGGCCGGTTTTAAAAGTTAAAAACTGTAAATATTGTATTTTCAATTTTAAAGTAGATTGAATTTTACTATTATTGCTTATTTCATTATTCTTATTAATTGAAATAAAGCTTGTTTTGTTGAACAAAGTTGGTATTTTTTGGACAAGCAATAGAAATACAAAAAGTTTTTGAAAAAAATTACGAATTTTTGCTTATTTTTGAAAGTTTCAGGCCCGCGGGCGTGAAAGGCGCCCTAGGGCGTAAAAGTACTACTTCACGCTTTAAAATGCGGGCGTAAAAGTACTACTTCACGCTTTAAAATGCGGGCGTAAAAGTGCACTTTTACGCCCGTTCGTGCATAAAAACTTTTTACAAGTCAGTAGAATTTATTATTTTGAAAAAATCACTTTTATCACAAGAATAAATTATAAATTGCTTGTAGGGAGCTTCTGGAAGACTTTCCTGGTGATAAACTGTTACCTATGACTGCGGCTTCATTAATAATATCTTCTAACACATTCATTTCTGGAAAAAAATTGCAAAATGCAAATTTTTCAGAAAACCTATTTATAACTAGAAACAGGGACTTAACTACGTCTCGTTCTCATAGATATATCAACTTTAAGGCTTGAATGAGAAAAAATCAAATAAAAATATATAAATTTTAAAATTTTGTTATTTATCAATTTTTATGTGTCCCTCTATCTTTTACAAATGAGTAACAAATAAATTAATTATTGTACATTATACGCCAGGTAAGAGTTTTTACTGGCTCTTGAAAGTGACAAGCTCGCCTGACGGCTCGCTAGTCATCACAAAACATCCCCCCTTAGAAAGGTAAGTGCCGTGTTGAGAACCTGTCTATAAGTTTTCAGCGCCTCTAGTGACTGGGGGGGTCAGCTTTTGTAATTCTGGATTTATTGGCGAATGCAAAACGCAATTAGGGTTCGTTCGGTATCTTATTCGTTCCAGTGGATCGTTTGCACCATTGTTTGATTCTAGCGAGTCAACACCACCACTTTAAAGTTTCTACCATTTTTTGGCATAAAATAATTGTGCCAAAAAGAAGAAACTCATAAAATCGGTAGTGTTGAAGCGCCTTCAAGGTAAAATTGACTAAGAATCAAGATACAAATTTAGATATTTATTAAAGTTTGAAACAGAAAATATAATAGAATATGGAATTGATTACAATTATTGCGAAACAGTTTTTTTTCATGTAAGTATACATACATATTAGGTAGGTAATGCTAGTATAAAGATAATAAGGACAGTTACAAGAAGTAATGACGTACATTCAACAATAGCTTGATGAAAAACTTAAATCGTAAATAAAATGACAAAAGAGGTCCTTTTCTCACAATCCAAAATCGTTGTTAACCTACCAAGTGAGGAAAGTGTTTCTGCACAATATGATGGAAGTTGCACGAATGACAGCAAAAAGCAGAGTTCGGACAAGCCTTTAAGTCCAGAAAATACACTTTCCGCATGTGTTAGGTAGAAAGTTTATGTAGTTATACATAATATAAAGCTCATTCAAGAAACAAACAACTTCTCGTCCAATGTAAATCGTCTAGCTTTAGGCTTTTGGTTTTGAGTACGGACTTGGCTTAAAATAAAGCTGTACATCAATGGATTGACGTGGTCTACGAGCCTTTGAAATTTGGTTTATGATGCAAGTTATTCAGCAGCAGAAACTTTGGATTTAAATGACGACAACCTTCTACTGATTCTTCTTAGCTTATTGTTGGATTCTATAACTTTGGAATAAAGATATTTTTCCCTTGGGGATAGGAATTTTTGCCTAGTGACGTTAATGTTCTTTAAAATTTGGCATCGTCTCTCATGACCTGCAAAAAAAAATAGATCAAGATTGGAGACGAGTTTTTCGCACATTTAGCTTCTAATTTTTCTAGCATTCGACTGCAAGTTTTAGTAATTAGTAGTCTTTTATAGTAGTAGTCCTACTTCAGTTAGGATGTTTTAAAATTCACCTCTTCCCAACTGGGTGGTTATTCATTAAGCAATAACACTTAGGTACCTACCAATAAAAGTTTGCCCGAATTGCAGAAGTTTCAGTAGATAAAAATTGACGACATGAAGGGCCTGGTTGATCTAAAACAGAAATTTCGTTACCAATGATTCTACCAAAAAAGTTTGGATACACGCATTGTAGAATATGGTGTACCTGTATGTAACCAGGAATATTTTAATTATTGTGTTTCCTGATAAAGGAATAAACATTTAAAAAAAAGAAATGAATAATATTAGCTTTGTTCCAACACAGCAGAAAACCGTACAATGTACCGTCACGATTCTGCGCAGAAACTAAAATTGTTATACTGAGTGGTTTCGAAACCGTTCATGGGACGATTTTTTGACGTGTTGGAACAGAGTTATTATGTTTAACTACCTATGTCAATCATAGTTGCGAAACTAATTTCTGAAGGCGTCTTAGGACTCTTCGACGAGTTTCAACTGTGTC